ATCGAATCATCTTTCTTTTTCGTCTGAGAGCCTATTGTCTAGTAGAAACAGTTTCTTTCTTTTTGAGAACTATGAGATATCGAGTATTTTTTTCTTTTCGTCCTACGCGATGGGTTCGAGTAGCAATTGATATCTTCAAGTAGAAGAGATTTATTTCTCAAGAAGACGTAGTTGTCCTACATCGACATTTGGGAACCCACGATTCGTTCCCTACAATTGATTTTCAACTCGTCCGTTGCCTAACCGATCCATCGTTAGTCGATTCTCAACTCGATCTTCAAGATTCATTTCTAATGCAGTGTCGATTAAGACAGTTACTGTTTAGCAGCAGCACATGAGTAATGTAGAGATTCATTGAACAGAAAGTATGGTGCAATACTAAGTAGGGATTGACCAGCTCAAGTTCACAAACTCCGTTTAAATGAACTAAAGAATAGGCATGTACCGAACCCGGGAACGAACCGAGAATTCCGGGCTCGGTACATGCCTACTAAAGAACTGTTCAAACAGTTCAGCTCTATGAACTGTTTCCATACATCCGCAAGGCCTATCATAGAGAGGTACCCGTAGGTTCCCAACAGCTATCATATAGGAGTACCCGTAAGCAGAGATGAAACTCCTCTAAAAGTCGTACCGGTTCCATCTCTGCCTATAGATCCTCAAGGCCTATCGTGTAGGTTTTCCCATAAGTCGTTCAGAGCTATCATAAATGGACACCCAAAATGGAAATAGACTCGTTTCCTGATTTCTTTGATTTCTAATGATTTCTCACATTTCTATTGATTTGTAGGGGTGACCCAGACAGATCCATGCACCACTATGCTTCATAACTATTGTAACGACATTACATAGGATTCTTCGGGCCATATAAAAGAGCTCCTCAGAGAACCCATCTATAGCCAGCGTTATTCAGGCGATATGAAAGAGCACTCCAGAGAACTCGTATATTGGCTCGATCAACATTATTTTTTTATTTTTACTATAGAGAAGAAAACATGCTGCTGAAATCTGATTGGTCGAGAGTGTTTATCAAACAACGAATCAGATTTCAGCAGGGTTTTTTGTCCACTATTGTAAACACAAAATATAGCATTGCTAGGGCCAATCTAGAGATTTTCTTAGGCGCTCCTTCATATGGCTGGAACAGTCCTATGTTTTATCCTTAAAATAGTGACGAAACAGCTTCCTCAAATCTGATTGGTCGATTGATAACAGCTTTTCACCAACCCGCTTTCTGTATGATAAAGACAAAACACAATACTGTTCAGGCTAATATAGTGGTTTCCTGGCGTACTCTATCATGTGTCCCAAACAATCTAGTGTTTTTTTATTTATAATAGCACAGACACAGTATTGTCCGAATCAATCTTGCGTTACACTCAGAAATCATTAGAAATCAGGGAAACAATCGGAAACTAAAGAAATCAGTTGGCTCGCCTTGCCTTCCAATCGTGACAAAACATAGTGTTGTTCAGATTAATCTAGGTTACTACTAGAATTGGCCAGAAATGGAAGAAATCATTAGAATTCAAAGAAATCAAGGTAATCACGAAACCAGTTTCTTCCTCCTTCAGGTACGGCTATATAGAAGCCCTTACGCAGCTATTGGTACCTCCATATGATAGGACTTGGAGACCTATGGAACCAGTTCATAAAGCTGCATTTATCTACCACTAATACCAACTAGGGAAGTCGGCAAAAGCAACGAGCCAAGTCGAAACACACCTTGAACTCAAGTATGTGGCGTGAAAATTTGACCATTGATACAGCTTGAAAAACGTTGATCCAAAGCACTAATTCAAGGTCAATAGATCAATGAAGAACAGATTTAACACTATTTTTCCTCTTTCACTGGTCGTCAGAACCAAAAACATGAATCTCACCTGCATTTACTTGTCATTTACAAGCATTATATTGGCGACATTCTTCTCCAAAGATTGAATATCAAACTGGATTAACCCTGTCCAGAGTTAAGACAGTTTGGTACTAATCCTTTAGAAGAGAATGTTACCGATATAATGCTTCCAAATGACAAGTGAATGCAAGTGAGATTCTTGATTTTGGTTCTGACGACCAGTGAAAGAGAAAAAAACTAGTGTTTAATCTGTTCTTCATTGATCTATCGACTTTGGGTTAGTGCTTAGAATCAAGTTTTTTAGAGCTTTATCACTGGTAAAATTTTCAAGTCAAATAGTTGTGTTTAAGGTGCATCTCCACTAGAGCTGAGCAATTCATGAATTGAATTGAATTGAATTGAATTGCCAAGCTATGGCCTTCACTTGACTTGTTACTTTGTCAAGTACTGTATTAGGCAACATCATGTCCTGTTCGTCTCATTTTCGATTGCCCAGTGAGAAATGTTCATGAAATAAAACGTTCCGAAATGGAACGGTGAAGAATGCGTTTCGCATCTTTTAGAACGTTTTCTTTTCTTAAAAAAAAAAGGGTTTTCACCTTTTTGGAACGCGGTCTTGGCCCTTCCTATTTTGAAAGATTAAGAACGGATTCTACTTCATGAGGAAATTGTTCTCAGCCATTTACATAAGAAGAATGACAAAAAATGAATTCCACCTTTCCTAGAATTTGTTACTTCTCATTCCTACTATATTAAGCCGCGTTGTCAACCTTTCTTGTCAATTCTTTTACGTCAGCTTTCTCCTAGATTCGTTTTAACTATTTCAATTGCATGACTCATTCATCACTATCTTGTAAATTCTGTTGTTTGTTTATTTATTATTCATTTGTATTTTATTTTCTTTCGTAAATAAGAATGTTGCGACATGGATAGCTAGAAGCTCATCCTTCAAAATGCATACTGATGAAAGAGGATGAAAAACTATATGGTGATAACTTCTTAATTCAAGAAACGATAAAAAAAGATTGTATATATTTGAGAATGCTGAGAAACACAACCTGAGCTCCTCAATATCCGTTGCGAATGGAGCAGGATCAAGGGGGAACTACTGAGTGCTTTGTAAATTTGTTATTAATTTTATATCGAAAACGTCAAAAACATCTGATTCTCGACTTTCCTCCTTTAGTAGGATTTGTTCATCGAACTTATAAAACGAACGAGAACGCATTCTATTTTGCCCAAAGTGATTTCGAGTTCAAGAGAAAGCATTCAGCGGTATAGAGAACACGTTCTCATATTGCAATGAATTATGCTAAATCGACTAGAACATGTTTCTCAGTTTAAAGACCTCGTTCTTGGGCATTTCTCCATAGAACGGGAAAGAAAACGATCTCATTTTGGTGAAATCCTGTCTTTCTCGTTCCAAAAAGAACGAAAAAGAGGGCATTTCTCTAGCTGAAAAACGTGTTCTTGTCGATTATGAATGCATTCGACAAACTATAGAACGCGTTATTCATGGACAAGATCGCTTTCCATGTTGATGACGAATGAATTCATTGTTCATTTTTTTTGCACTATTACAACTTGATTTGACTTTCTTAAGCATAACTTCCGTCACTTACAAGACGTCGTTATTAATTAACAATAAACGGGTACAATTTCTTCCATGGATCCTAGTGTCTACTATTGCATCATTTCGTTTTTCATCATATCAATCATTTCATTCAATTCTGTCCTTTTCACTAATGGCACGACTCTTTCATCAGAAATAGACAATGAACTGAAGAAATTTTCATCTGATCGAGAAACACAGAGTACGAAGACTAATGTTAAACTGCATGCAGGTCGTCGTCTCACAGTTCAGAATTTTATTCTCATTTGGTTAGACTTGAACATCGATGAATCCGATAATGATTATCGTAAATCTATAACTCGACTTCGAGAAATCGTCAATACAATCTATACATTTACTGATGCTGGTCAATGTATCGATTTTCTTAGCCAAATCAAAGACGAAAAGGTATTTCTAATTTTATCGGATGATCATCTCCAATCAACAGTATCTCTCATTCACGGCATGTCTCAACTCGATTCCATCTATGTATTTTCTGGAAATGAGTCAAAATATGAACCATGGATGAAACAATGGACAAAGATAAAGGGTTTGTTCACTCAGATAAATCCGATTCTTGATGCTCTCAAACTAGATGCTCAACAGTGCGACCGTGATTCTCTGTCATTCAGTATTACAGGTGGAGATTTAGATCATCGCGATCCTGTGTTCATGTATACATGTTTACTCAAGAAGACTCTCATCGAAATCAAACATGATGGCAACGCTAAGAAAGAACTTACTGATTTTAGTCGAAAACAATACCATAATAATTCGTACGAATTGCAAAAGATTGATGCGTTTGAACGAGATTATCGTCTAGATACAGCTATTTGGTGGTACGCTCAAAAATGTTTTCTCTATGAAATGCTCAATCGAGCTCTTCGAACGCAAGAGATCGAAATTATCAGAAAGATGGGCTTTTTCTTACGTGATGTTCATCGACAAATCGAAGAACTTAATTCGCAAAAGGCACGCAACCGTAGTCTCCTCATTGTCTATCGAGGCCAGGGTATATTAAATACGGAGTTGGAGAGGATAAAAAGCACGAGCAAAGGTGACCTGTTAACATTTAACAACTTTTTGTCCGCGAGTCTCAACAAAAAAGTTGCACTAGAATTTGCTCGAAATTCGCTACACAACCCTGATTTGGTAGGCATTCTCTTCAACATAACTATCAATACGTCAAGTTCGTCAAATCCATTTGTTTCACGGCGGCAAATTGATGCTCTCGCAAATGAGAAAGAAGGAATTTTATTCTCTATCTGCACGGTATTTCTAATTACTGATGTCAAGCCTATGGAGAATCGACTCTGGCAAGTGGAACTCGCATTGCTGCGAGACGACGACCAACAACTAAAACAACTTCTTGAACGCATGCGAAAAGAGACATCTAAGTCAACAGGATGGCAGCGATTGAGTGATTTACTGATGCAAATGAAAAATTTCGACAAAGCCGAAGAAGCTTATCAAATACTACTACATGAGACATCAGAGGTAGACGAGAAAGCACTTTCTCATCTCTATAATCAGATGGGTCGAATAAAACACAAGAAGGAAGATTATATGGAGGCACTGGAATTCTATAGAAAGGCGCTTGAAATTCAACAAAAATCTCTTCCTTCAAATCATCCAGATTTTGCCGGTACCTACAATAACATGGGTTCAGTGTATGGCAATATGGGAGAGTACTCAAAAGCGCTCGATTTCTATCGAAAGACGCTTGAAATTCAACAAGATTTGCTTCCTTCAAATCATCAAAATTTGGTTACTACCTACAATAACATTGGTTTGGCACACAAAAACATGAAAGAACATCCCAGAGCACTTGAGTTTTATCAAAAGGCACTTGAAATCCAACAAAAATCTCTTCCTTCAAATCATCGAGATTTTGCTACTACCTACAACAATATAGCTTCGGCCCATTACAACATGAATGAATACTCGAACGCACTCTCGTTCTATAAAAAAGCGCTTAAAATTTACCAAAAGTCTTTTCCTCAGGATCATTCATATTTAGCTACTATCCACCACAATATCGGTTCGGTGCATAAAGATATGGGAGACTACTCGAAAGCACTCGAATACTTTCAAACGGCACTTGAAATCAGAGAAAAATCTCTTCCTTTAAATCATCCAGATATGGCTACTATCTATAGCAGCATGGGTTTGGTGTATGTCAAAATGGAACAATATTCGAAAGCACTTGAGTTCTATCAAAAGGCACTTGATATACAACAAAAGTCTCTTTCTCCGGATGATCCCAATTTGGCTATTACCTATCACAACATTGCTTCGACGTATTACACCATGGAAGAATACTTAAAAGTACTCGAATTCTTCAACAAGACACTTGAAATCCAACAAAAATTTCTCCCTTCGAATCATCCAGATATGGCTGCTTTGTATTACTACATCGGTTTAGTGTATCACCATATGAAAGAAGACTCGATAGCACTCTCATTTTTCGAACGTGCTGTAGAAATTGGACAAATTTCACTGCCTGAAAATCATTCTAATCTTGAATTGTACCGAAAAGACCTTTACAAATTACAACATGAATTATGATTTGCTCTGATTTTCGTGAATAAAACTACTTTATCGTTTATACGCGGATACACTTTAAAATAACTGATNTTTCATATTTAAATCGTCTCGAAAAGATGATTTAAATATGAATTAACCAATCAACTTGCTCAATTCTGATTTAAGTTAAATCACTTCGTCTAGTGTGAACATAGCCTAAATCAAGGTGCAGAGTTCAAACTTGAGCTTAGTTCGGTCCCATGTCCTATTGGTTTGGCAACGCGCAATATAAATCAACGTTTTAAATGGTAGATTTCACAGTATGATTTTGAAATTCAGACAGTCTAGGATGATTGATTTGTATGATTCACTTTTTGAAGTACACATAACTCTCGGATTTAAATCCGAAGTTTCCGCATTTATTATAGTTTGTTCCTGGTACAGAGATCGAATCAATCTCAATTTTTGATAGCTGGAACTGTTAATGATCTGAAAAGAGTAGATAGACTGTCAAAAGCTTTCGTCAGAAGGTACCGAAGGTGATAATTAGAGTCATTTCGTGTTGCTGCATTTCCAATGATCTGCAGAAGTGGTTTACATTGATTCAATCAACATTGCAGTTGATTTCTGATGTAACAATGTTAGAGTTTCTTTGGGCTATACAAAGAAACATTTTAGATTATGTTTTTGCTATCACGAAGGAAAACCATACGAAAGTCGTATCAGTTGTTAGATTTTATATAGGAACTGATCACATCTTGAGAAAGCTCTTTCGTCGCAATAATAATCAAATCAGATAAGCCATTAGAAAGTAAATAATGGAATAGGAACGACGAAAAATTAAGAAATCAAAACACAAAGCAGTCTATTCGCTTTACCTTACAAACGTGACACAACATATTTTCGTTCGAACACGTCTAGGTTACTCTTAGAAGTAAAACAAATCGAGGTAGTCCATTATCTGCGGCTCTTTCAGCCCTTTTATGTCGATTTTGTTCCATGTTCGAAGTTAAAATTCTTACATTTTGAGGCTAACATGCTACCCACAAGACTATCTTTCTTTATTTTACTTCAGAGAAGAGCTACTTTGTAAACTAAATGGGATGGTATAATGAAAGGATTCTACTAAAAAGTACCTCTTTTCACCTTCTCTAACCCCATAGTTTGCTTGGATTTGGATTATCGATATCTGATATATTAGTTGAGGCGTTTCAATGATCTTTTCGAGCATTATTAGTTTACTGATGGTCAGTAGGGATGAATGTTTTATTGGGTGATTTTGAGATTGGTATATTATTAGATACATATTTGTTGACAAACGGTGAATATAGTGTCCAGTACAGTCAATGTTCCTAATAAGAACAGTTTTTTTATGCTTAAAAGTTTTATTATTTTTCTCGGCTACCATACATATAAAAATATATATTTTTATATTTATGTTAGCCGAGAAAAATAATAAACCGTTTAAGCATTAAAAAACTGTTCTTATTAGGAACATTGACTGTATCATAATGATTTATTGTATGCTTGTGTACGGTTCCTCTATTGCGAAGGTGCTCGCAAATGGCTACTGTACCATGGAACATCGTTTACAGTTTTTGTAAACATTCGATGGAAATAATCATCTTTATGCGCCACAATTTCGTAGTTTACGGCCCAGCATGATTATTTTCAGTTATTATCGAAGACGTATAAAAAAGATCCTGACTTTCAATTATTTCTTTCTCTTACAAATCAATTTGTCAATATAATCAAAATCATCAGATTTTTACTTCTAAAAGAAATGAGAACATATACCATTCCGCCAAAAGTAATTTCAAGTTGAAGAGATAGAATTTTGCAGTATGGAGTACATGTTCACATAATTCTATGAATGATGGTAGATCGATTAGACCATATTACTAAGCTAGAAGAACTCGTTATTGGGCATTGCTCCGCAGAAATTTTTCATTGAGCGGTGGCGTCTTCACAATACATAGTCAGTACGTTGCTATACTCTTTACCTTTGTGTCCATTCTCAGGAGCTAAAATACTTGATACTGACGACGTTCTTAGTCGTCTTTTAACAGATCGAAAACGACTAATTCATAGATGGAATCAATGATTGACTATTCATTTCAGGTGGATAGATGATGTCAGCCTTTTCTCTAACAATCAATAGTTTTGACATGAAATTAGTTATAGCTGCTGAAAATATCGTAGGGGCAAAAAAAGGAAAAAGATTGATTCGATTGTGTTAGTTTTCTATTCTTTCATGACAATCAAGATGTGGAATAAATAGAAAAAAGACAAGCCGGAATTATGACTCCTTTTCATCTAGAGTGGTATTTGAATGACGATAGTTTTGGAGGATCATTCTTTGTTTTTATCTATTCTTTCTTATCCATTTCTACTCTAAATGCTCGATTTTCTAGTTTCCATCTATGGATCCTAGTGTCTACTACCGCATCATTCCATTTTTCATTATATCAATCTTATTATTCAACACCGTTCCTGCCACTGTTGGGACGACTCGCTCATCAGAAACAGACAACGAAACGGAGAAAATATCATATAATCGAGAAATACATAAAAGTCGTCGCCTTACTGTTCAGAATTTTATTCTCATTTGGTTAGACTCAAAAATCAATGAATCTAATAGTGATTATCATAATTCTATGAAGCGGTTTCGAGAAATCGTCAATACAATATATACATTCACTAACGCTGATCAATGTGTCGATTTTCTTAACGAAGTCAAAGACGAAAAAGTATTTCTAATCTTATCAGATGATTTTATCCAATCTACAGTATCTGTCATTCATGATATTCCTCAACTCGATTCCATCTATGTAATATCTGGAAATGGGTCAAAACATGAACAATGTGCGAAACAATGGACCAAGATGAGGAGTGTGTATACTAAGATGGGCTCTATTATTAATGCCCTTAAACTAGATGCTCAGCAGTGCGATCGTGATTCTCTCTTACTCAGTATTACAAGCGGACATTTAGATCAAGTCGATCCTGTTTTCATGTATGCGAATTTACTTAAGAAAACTCTCATGGAAATAAAATATGATGGCAACGCTAAGAAAGAATTTGCTGACTTTTGTCGAAAACAATACCAAAATAATTCGTACGAGTTGCAAAAAATTAATGCATTTGAACGAGATTATAGTCTAGATGCAGCAATTTGGTGGTATGCTCAAAAATGTTTCCTCTATCAAATGATTAATCGAGCTCTTCGAACGCAAGAGATTGAAATTATCTTCAAGATGGGCTTTTTCTTACGCGATGTTCATCGACAAATCGAAGAACTAAATTCGGAAAAGACACGAAAGAGTAGTGTTTTCTTTGTCTATCGGGGTCAAGGTATCTTAAGTACAGAATTTGAGAGGGTCAAGAGGACGAGTAAAGGTGACTTACTAGTGTTTAATAACTTCTTGCATGGAAGTCTTAACAAAAAACTAGCACTACAATTTGCGCGAAATTCGTTACGTGATCCTGATTTAGTAGGTGTTCTCTTCAACATCACTATCAATAATACACGAGCTTCGTCAAGTCCATTCGTTTCACGACGGCAAGCTGATGCTCTGGCAAATGAGAAAGAAGGAATTTTATTTTCTATGTTCACGATATTTCAAATTACTGATATTATGCCTATTGAGAATCGTCTATGGCAAGTGGAACTTACATTGATGCCAGATAACGACCAAAAACAAATCAAACTTCTTGAACTCACGCGAAAAGAGGCATCAAAGTCAAATGGATGGCAGCAGTTGGGTGATTTACTGATGCGAATGAGGAATTTTGACAAAGCCGAAGAAGCCTATCATATACTATTACAAAAGATGTCAAAGGTAGACGAGAAAGCACTTCCTCATCTTTATAATCAACTAGGTCGCATAAAACACAGAAAGAAACAGTATATGGAGGCATTGGAATTCTATGAAAAGGCACTTGAAATTCAACAAAAATCTTTCCCTTCGAAGCATCTAGATTTGGCCAGTACCTACACTAATATTGGTTTAGTGCATAGCAGTATGGAGGAATATACAAAAGCCCTAGACTTTTACCGAAAGGCGCTAGAAATTCAAGAAGATTTACTTCCTTCAGATCATCAAAACTTAGTTACTACCTACAATAACATCGGCTTGGTTTACAAAAACATGGGAGAATATTCAACTGCGCTTGAGTTTTATCAAAAGACACTAGAAATTCAAGAAAAATCCCTTTCTTCAAATCATCGAGATTTCGCTATGACCTATAACAATATCGCTTCCGCCCATTACAACATAAAAGACTACTGGAAAGCTCTTTTATTCTATAAAAAAGCGCTTAAAATTTACAAAAAGTATTTTCCTGAAGATCATCCATATTTAGCTACCATGTATCACAATATTGGTTCAGTGCACCGGGATATGGAGGAATACTCGACAGCACTCGAATATTTTAAAAAGGAACTTGAAATCCGAGAAAAATCCATTCCTTCAAATCATCCAACTATGTCTAGTATTTACAGCTGCATGGGTATGGTACATGCTAAAATGGAACAATATTTGAAAGCACTGGAATTCTATCAGAAGGCACTTGAAATTCAACAAAAAACTCTTTCTGCGAATCATCCAGATCTAGCAGCTATTTATTACTACGTTGGTTCAGTATACCAGCATATGCAAGAAAATTCGAAAGCACTATCATTTTTCGAACGTGCTGTAGAAGTTGGACAACTTTCACTGCCTGAAAACCATTCTGATCTTGAATTGTATCGAAAACACCTTTATGAATTACAACATGAGTTGTGATTTACTCGAATTTTCCTGCATGAACCTAATTTCCTGTTTATCCCTGCGCACACTATAAAATAACTGATAGAAGGTTTTCAAAGTTTTTTCCCACGGATTGAATCTTTTTTAAGTTTTTCAAAAGTATATGAAAAAAAATTGATCTTTTTAGACAAGCATTACTAACCCGAACAGATATCTGGCAGTACCATTTTTGGCGTAATTCGGCTCTAGTAAATAACAGTTATATTGTAATTGGCTGCTGACAGATGCTAAGAATGATATTTATTATCAATTGAAACTAAGGTTCATACTTTATAAGCTGTTTGTACCTATATAAAAGGAAGGCCAGTAAATGAAGATAATTCATAATGATTATTCCCTCTGCTGAAAGAGGGTAGTGCATTGAACAGCTGCCATGACCTAATGTTCGTGTGTTTTTTAGTTCGCACAGAAGGAAAGAAACATATATAAGACGATTGCAAGCCATTTGTACAATTCGAACAAAAAAAATGGCTAAGCTTATATCTTGCAGAATTTTCAATCAATTTCAACAATTTTATCAGAAAATACCCTTCACAGATGTGACTAGTTTGGCTGCTACAACCAGCCCTCTAGCTATTGTCTGTCACTAGAAAGCGCGAAAATGATGTCGCTTTTTCACTTAAATTTCACATGGGCATGTCCAACGGCGATAAATGAAGCAGATTTTTTTTCTGTTGAGAAGGCGTTTTAAAAACTCATTTTAACTCATTAGTATCTCCGTAAGATTCGCTAGAAAATGTGCTATTTGATTTAGCCGAGTTGCTGTTATTTGGGTTGTACCTGCTCGAAGTATTCGTGGTGGCAGATTTGGTAAAAAATGTCCCGTCACGCAGTCAACCGTTTTTTCGGAATGAAAATTTGAATGAAGCCCTACTCAATTATAGCAAAAAGGTAGAGCGAAGAAAATAAAACAAGATGCGATTTGAAAGAAATCTATAATATTTTTTATTAGATCAAAAATAAAAAAGTTCAAATCTGAAAACGCGCCTTCCTCGTTAAATGTCCCGTCACGTTTTTTTTTTGTTTTTTATGTATCTCAAGTTCTACTATATCATAATCAGAATAATTTTCAGCCAATGTAGACCGCTAAATATAGAATGGATACTCCAAATTTCAACTCTTAATTCTTTGTTGTTTCGGAGAAAATTGCAAAATACTGGTCAAATGTCCCGTCACGCTTTTGTCCCGTCACTTTTTTTTTGACAGTAAAACCGACGTTTTTCCACCAAAATAGAAAGAAATCTAGATGTATCGTATATGAATCGAGAGCTAATTGAAAAGCTCATATAACCAGACGTGCAAAACCTTGGCAAGCGACGAAGACGAGTTTACTCATGTTAAAATAAGTTTTCCTACGTTCTTTATGCGTGGATCGAATAAAAACCATATTTCTTAAGAAAAAAATGACGGAACCTTTTGGAAAAAAACAAAGTGCTAAATAAAAAATCATGTCATTTTTGAAAGATCAGACCTCGAGCTCTCTTCCTATGCATTTATCTCAATTTTCATGCCTTTCACCAAAAATCGACTTTTCTCAGGGGGTAGGTTTTTTTTTAAATTTTTCATAATTTCGGCTATCCTTGATAGTGGTAGTGAGACAACTGCCGGTTTCCTTTATTTCTTTAGTAGTACTATTTATCCCAATACGCAAATTCATTCCAGTGAAAAATGAAAATTTCAAAAAAAACTGAAGCCAAACTGTACAAATGGCTTGCAATCGTCTCATATATGCATATGTATGCATTGGAGATAGGGAAAAAAAGAAAAAGAATATGTACAGTGCCTGTCCCTAATTCGATCACTTTTTTCTTCTTTGCGAGAAACTTTATAACTTTTCTCTACGACATCCGTTTGAAATATTTTTTCGATATAAAGAAAACATTTTTCTATCTGCTCGTGTAACATTCAATGAAAAAAGTTAATTCTTAATGAGTAGTGACGTTTGGAAGAAGGCTTACTCAAAACTTTTGCTCATTCTGTAACTATTTTAATTCGATCACTAAGCTATTTTTGTGAATAATTCGACATTTCCATCATGACGTCTATTGTGTTGAACATATTGTATGTAGAATATGAATTATTCTAGATTTCTCATAAAAACATATCAACGTGGTGGTTATATTTATTAGTACATTAAGTTTTTAAATCATTTGCGTCTATAAAACGTCAAATTACTGTTTATTTCGATTCCTAACTCCGATTCTTTCAATATTCTATTCATTCCATATCATATTTTCGTTTCTGACACTCACATGCATGAATTTAGCTACTAAAAGCTTGCAAATATATGACTTCAATCGCACTCAGCTTACGAGAAAAAAGTCACGGTTGTTGAGGAAGGTAGGCATCATCCTATTATATAATCCACATGAGCCAGAAATATTGACATTCATCTTGTTGTAAGCATTTTTTCATTCTAGAACATTAATACAGATCTTTTCGATACCTCCACTCGCTCAAGTCTAAATGGGTGTGGGTGTGGGTGTGAGTGTGGGTATCCAATTAACGAAGTGCCGCTCCACACACCCACACCCACATCCACACTCACACTCACACATCCACACCCTATAATAAATCATTTCAGTGTTGTTTAATTTTATTTAATGTTGTTCGATTGTTATCATTAAAGTTAACAAGTGAGAAGAAAAATAAGATAAATTAGTTTACTTAACTAATGTTATTATTTATATAATTTTGTTTGATAATTGTCGGAAATTTTCTCGTAGACATCAAATAAGAAAAACTCTGATTACTTATCTTGTTCTTATTTATTCGAATAACTTACTGAGAATAATCGACTAATATTCTATATTTATATTTGAAGAAATTCAACAAACAATATGAAATAAAATAATTGATGTTCATTTTATTGTTTTCTCTCATTCGAAATATTTTAAGTTATTTTAGTCAAAAAAGATAATTCATCATAGAATAGTAATGGTATCCAATGCTCAAACTTATTTTCTTTGTTGGAAAAATACTGAAAGAAAATTCTTTTGGGTGTGGGTGTGGGTGTGGGTGAGGGTGTGGGAGGGTGTGGGGTGTGGGTGTGGGTGTGGGTGTGGGTGCGGGTGTGGGGGTGGGTGTAGTTCTTCCTTATTCCTTCGGCCGACCCACCCACACNGTTTCTTGAGCTGGAAAAACACAACAATTTTTTTCTCCTTTGTGTATGCGTGTAAACGCGTTTTTTGTCTGAAAACGCGTTTAAACGCACAAAAAGGGCGAAAAATGGGCGTTTTTGGCTCACAGTCGGGAACCTCAAGTGTGATCCGAAAACGTCCACTTTTTGCTGATTTTAGGCCAATTTCTGTGCGTTTAAACGCGTTTTCTCAAAAGTTTGTCTGCCTGGGAAGGACGTAAGAGCGCAAGCTATGTGCAATTGTTCTCGACAAATATAGAAAGACGAACATTGTTTTGAGATAGGGTTCTCTTATCTATGATAATTGAATTTATCAAGGTTTATTCTACTCGTAATCTCTTTCAACGAATGTGATGAAGTGTACCGGTCAACGCGACGCCTTTCTCCAACAATTTATTTCAAGACATGTAATTCGTTTTTCGTCTTCTTGAGACTTTTCTTCTTGATCTCCCGCCTGCATATGCTCTCTATAATTGCTTCTACCTGTATCAATCAGATCATATGAGGATTTTACTTCATAGGCTAAGTGAACAATCGCCTTGGAATTTGCATGGGTATTTGTCAGTGTAGTGTGCCTGTGGGTTGGTAGAAGAGCTTCATCTGTGAGTGTCGGTCGGCATGATTATTGGTTGTCTGTTGACTCACACGCTCACTGATCGAAGCACCAGTGAACACTCACCTACTCGCATCGATGCTCGCACCCAATTCTATCCAGCTATGTAGGACCACCCACACGATCTTTAACGTATGAGAGAGCAGCTTAAAGCATGCAGCTTTTTTCTATAGATTAGAAATCCTAAAGTAGTATGAAATTCACCACATTGTCTCTCTTCATTTCATTCGGTGATTAGATTTTAGGATTTAGTTGCTTTTTCTGAAGTTTCACCTGCTGTGGCAATGTTCACTTCGATGAAGTCTGGCTAAGAAGTTCTAATTTTCCTGCTAAGACCGGCTGATTCATTCTTTGATACTTGCATATCTGGCAATAAGTTGTAGACCAGTTCATCTTCTTTGAAAATGAATAGCCGTGGAGGGTCAAGATTTGCCGGATCCACATTCCACCAATCAACATTCCTTAGGCCAAGATTCGACGAATCCATATTCCTCGAACCAATTGACGATAGACCAGCATTCGGTGGATCAACATACAGAGGACCAACATTCGACAGAACAACATACAGAGGATCAACATTCGGCAGAACAACATCCCGCAGGTTACCATTCCATAAGTCAAAGTTTGATGCGTCAAGACTCAATGAACCAACATTTGAAGAAGAAAAATTCGACTATCCAAATGCGCATATGTATCTGCCAGCTATTGGTACGTATTGTTTCTGGTTAGTACTTAATTGAAAGGACGATAACTAATTGAAAGTTATTGATGTTGAAAAATATGATAGCAAAACGTTCAAAAGAAGAAGCGACACATAATCTAAGATCGTATTATGATATATAGATGAAATACGACGCTAGTATGAGTAAATGAATCATGCACGCCTTCAGAAAATCGTACGATCGAGAAGAACCATCGAGCAATGCAATGTATCCGGTGAGAGGAATTGTTCTGTACACATGCTTAACACATCCTGCCACATTGAGAAGTGATTCATTGGAGCCAATAGCGTATGTTTGAACTAGAGCCGCTTGAGAAGAACATCGAACTCATGTTTGTTACAAATTCGTTCGAATGAAGTACTTTCCCGTACTCTGTTTACACACAGAATGCGTTCTTCCTTCGCCGATCACGAACGGTGAGGAGTTGTAGTTATATGGTGATGAGCTGTGGATAAGTCTAAGCCATATTCAGCAAGAAAAGATCGCATGAACCGTGTATTTGTTGTCGCATTAGATTTGGAAGGAAACCAGTAAGATTTGGTTGAACTGACTCGTTCGCCATAACTTCTTCAATAGAAAATTTTCGACAGCAGTCTTATAGCTTGTCAGTCATCCGTTGAACGGTATGAGAATCAAGAGAGGCAGCTATATGAAGGGCAATTATTTACTTCTTGTGATCATTGGGCAAAAGAACTGAATTTTCCGTCTGATCTTTCCTATTGCCGACACTTTTCAGAGATTTCTTGTTCTTAATGTATGAAAATGTTTTTTGATGTCGAACTTTTAGAAATGCCTAGTACATATTTTCCCTCATGGTTACCTGGCTACATATATGCAGTTTGATATCCGAAACATTGTGAGGAAAATGAACTTTTTTAAGATTTGTCGTTTGATGAGAAAATTTCATTATTCTATATTGAGCCATATAGTTTGCCTTCACGAATATTCGAAGTGTATTATTTTACCTAATTCTAGGAAAAAGTTGGTTGCGGTATGTGATCAGAGTTGGACTAAATTGATCCAAGTCACATTTGACTTGATCTTGGCTTGGTTATTTTTTCAATACTTGACTTTATTTGACGAATTTCTACCCAAATAGTTGAAAAAAACTAGTCAAGATCAAATCAAGCACCACTTGGCCTGACTTGCTTTTGACTTGGGTCAATTTTTCCCAGCTCTGTAGGTTATAATTTGGCAGTCGTTAGCTGGATTTCCTGCCAAAGATTAGATTGTCACTCTGGCGTCATAATTCGGAATGACAATGTAGGATTCTCGCTTTTATAGCAGCGATAATTTTCTTCTGGTTCTAGGACGTCATTCATTTTTACCGTTATATAATGCGTAGAAGACAGAATACGAAGTGTTGCGTGCTCTACCAAATAGGATTTCGAGTAGTACTGACGATAAATGTGTTCTCTCGGACACATAATCGAACCAGTATTTACGACTTGATTCAGTCTGCTCAATTAGAAGAAGCAAAGAGAAGAATAGAGACCTTTGCAGCCGTACATGCACACTGTTCATTTGTACAAATGACGAGCGAAACGGTATAATTGACGTACACCAAGATGCGGGATTTCAGGAACGAACTTCTGTTGCATAAAAGCAGCACCGTAGTACACTTGATAAATAGAGATACATTACTGAACTCAAAGAAAACGTTTAGTGACTTCCTAAACCAGAAAAGTAATCTTCTTCCGAACACACTGAAAGAGCACGCTTTCTGACCATCCTAGATTCTATCGACGATAAATGTTCTGCACAAAAAGTGACGAAACTTAACGAGTTTTGTAGAATACATCCGAGGTCTATTAAAAACCTTCCGAGCTTTCTACTTACATAATAACAAAGATTTAATGAAGTTTTGCGAAAACCCTTCTTTCGTTCTTGGAACGAAAAAATGCTCATCAGAAAAGTCCTTCCACTGTGCTCGGGAGAAGTTTTTTTCTGATTTACTAAGTTGTTGAACCCTTCTGAAGTTCAGTGATGTACTTTTTTCAGAGTAGGATAGAAACAAATTTTTAAGGCGTCATTTTTGTGAAAATTAAAAATTGTGAACGATGCCGTTTCAAGTCTTACAACAGACACTGCCAGTTTAGCCGCACAACGATTATCCCAATCATCTACAGGCAACCCGACTTTATCACCTATACTGTCGATAGCGCTTGAATACCACGGTTATATCACAACAATAGCGATCGTCCTGAAACTTATTTTAGCGTTGCGCTATGCGGCTTATAATTTCCAATGATACCGCTTTTGATTCAAATTGAGCGAAATGGTACTGTCATTCCTCACTTAGTGTAACATGAATCTAGCTAGATATAGTCCTGTTCAGACTACTCAACTACCATCAAAATCATTGAATTTCAGTGTTTCCAAATTATCGCAAAAGACTGAGTCTAACATTAGATTTATCGCAAAATGTGGTATGCCACATTGTTTTCGTCGACTTCAAAAATGCATCTATCTGATGTTATACTTCCAATCACATTTGTCATCACGTGGATTCCTAAAGCTGACCGTTGTAAACGAGAAATTCAGAGTAGCAGCTATTTAGGTAGAAGAACTTGTCATGACGATTGTAAACGTGCTAACGATCGATCTTAAGCAGAGAAAGATAGTCTGGAAATTGCACGATGTAATTATTAGTACTGAGGTAAGTGACTGAGGATTCAGAATTTCGTCAATAAAAGACGAAAGTTCGGTGGGTATATTGGTGCTTGCTTACCTGACTTGTGCCAAATTGAAAATACCATTGGAGAAATCGTATGGGAATCGGCAAGAGATTATGTCATAACGAGTGGTGTAGAATAAATTAGACTCAGTATTTTGAAAATTTCTCCTCTTTTCTAAACCTGACCGAGCTGATCGTTTAACAAAAATATTCGTGGTTCAATTCTCTTCAAGAAAACATTGAGAAGCTTGTTTTACAGGAGAGAAGCTAAAAAGGCAAGGAGATATTCTGACAGCTCAGAAAATTTCCAACATGTAAATCTTTTTTGTTAAGTTTTCAAGTTTTACACGATAGTTAGATAAACATGTAAATGTAACAGGGTAAGTGTTTACATACATTCAGGCCTAATATTTCTCGTAATGAATTTCAAAATACGTTTTGAAAAATACCATATCAGAAAGGCCAACGATTTCATTCTAAGTGAGTTAAAAACTGCTAAAACTTCACTTCTTTAGTTAGTTTCACTTGAGTAGATAAAAATATGCTACTTCTATAGATTCCATGCAGTAAAGCATTAATTTTACTTGACGCTTAAAGAAAACTAGCGCAAAATGTTAACTTTTTGTTGAATTATGCGGAATTTCTGCAATGTCACGAAGCAGTAGTAAAAACGGGTGATTTTTTTCTAAGAGAATAATCAAGTAAAAGCTACCTTACGGAAACAGATATCAATGAGAAAAAAATTGAGCAAAGCTAAAAGATAGAAATTTTCGTAGACTATCAAACAGTGAAACAAACTCTTAAACCATTTACACGTCTGATAAATAAAGCCTAAAATAATGAAAAGATTTTTGACATTTCAGAAATTTTCGGAACTTTCGGAATAGCTCTTTTTTAAGTTCTATCCTATAACCAGACCGTTCAATATATTGTTAAAGAAAATTAAACAGCGAATCTTTTGTTAAAAGAATCAGCTCAATCATCTTCAGAGAGAAGGAACAATAGTCAGAATAAGCAGTCTGATTTATTTTGCGCCGTCCGCTATATTAATATTTTCTGCTCAAGTAATTAAGAATGAGGCAAAATAGTGTCAGTATTGATGAACTTTCTGCTACTCAAGTGACGGAACACTGCCGATCGTCGACATCTTCAAAAGTTGACCGATTGCCTACTTGAACATAATACATCGATCTTAGGCACAAAAGACTGGTTTGGATAATAAAAGAATCGCTTGAACGAAACGTATGTACATCGACGATGGCACAGCGATGTTCATCGAGGTCGAGGAATAAAAACTGCTTCTGTCTACGAAGATCCTAAGCGGCTCTCACTGACAGCCAAATAGAAGAGTAGTCACCATATTTTCTAGTAGAAATCAGTTCGATGGACTAGTCAAATTGAAAGTGAAAGTCTAGCGTTAGCGACTATATGCTTGCACACAACCGTAGAATGTTACAAATATGGTGGCGCCATTCTGCTCTTTCACAGTTTATGAAAAGGTAATTAGAAGCGCCCTATTTGGCGGCGCTTTTCTGCTGAATAAAGCGGATATTCGCTGTATGGCGCAATGGCACCATTATTGTTGAGAAAAACAATACGAGCAGTCTGTGGAGAAAATCGAAATCTTAACACATTCGAATGCAATCAATTGCATGATTCAGGTCATCTGAAAATCTTAGGCTTTTCGGAGATAGATAGTACGATAGTCCAACCAGGATGCCAACGATGTTCGTCTAGTACAGAAGACACGGGTTGTCAGATATAGGAATCTGTCCGAAAAAAAGATGGTCGATTAGCTTATTTTTTCACTAACAAAATTTCCAATGGAAAGCTACATGTATGGATACTAATTCAACTTACGAGTACAGCATAGTGATTGCCATCCGCCCAAATTCGCCATCAAAATATTTTCATAAATGTCTCCACTACGAGATGATTTGATATTATTTTCGAAGTTCTTTTATTGCAAGTCATCATCGAACAATAAAAACATTTGTTCATTCTATCCCAGTATAGCGTAGACTCGCGTTGCAAGACTTTAGTTCACCCGTAGGATATATACAGAGAGTGAGTCTTTTCTTTGGTATTAGAGCGAAAATATAGGTAGATACAACGAATGAGTGACCAAATAGGCACACATATCAGATTCAGCAATTAGAGAATGCTTTAGTTTCGTCACTTGTACGATTCACTGTAGATACTAGAGACCATGGCTTCTCACAAAACAAGCCTACGCCTCATGCTGCTTCCTCATTTCGATCTGATTCTCAGCCGAACAAATCTTCAGAAACTACCTGCCCTCTTTGTCATCAATCGTTGAACGCGGCGAATGGTTCTGCTGATCTTTTTCAAACTACTTTGCACCAATTGTTTCCAGGAGCAAGTGGACTAGAAGAGTTTATTTTTCGAACAAAGCAAACTTTGGTGCCGAAAGGCTTCTATCCTCGAGTAAATACTTTCGTTTGTGTTGGCCTATGTCGTGATGAAATCACGAGCCCTTTCGAAGAGGAAGTCGAAACTATGTGGGGTCAAGCATTCAATTGTGGTTCTCTCGGCGGCATGTTGTTTTGTGGCAACACTGGTTTCTCTGCCGCACATCACCATGCACCTGACACCGCTTGCATCATTTATTACTGTTTTACGCATATTGCCATTGATCATCAGGGCATTATCGGTTCCGTTTACAGAACGCGCAGTGGCATGAACAAAAAAACGACGGCATGTGGAGCTCTAGCTGCATTCACTGATGAAATAGCTTCCAATAAACTGAATCTTAACTTAGATGAAAATGATATTGAAATGAGCATGTTAAAGAAGCAAATCATTAAAAAGAGCGGCCTTTCCATCGATCCCAAAAATGCCCCAGATTTACTCCAAGTGACAATGGCCGCTTACAAAACGATTACAATGGATTTAGAACGACATGCTCGGCATGATGCAGAAAAATTCAAAGATCGTCGATATGCTTTGTTTACGGGCATTCAAATACATGGACCAGAGGGGTCTGATTATTGTTGGTTGGGAAAAGCAAGTTTATTGGTTAAAGGACAATTAACACAATTGGTTCTTGCGCCAGATATGAGTTCACTATGAGACGCTGGACCACCAGGCGAGCGACACTGACAGGACACACGTGTTCTCGGTCTATCTGAATTTTCGACAAGAATTTTGCGTTTATTATTCAATAACAGTCGTGCACTCGTCCATGTGTGAGTGTAGCCGACAGATTCATGACTGTATCGTGACCGTTGCAAACGCACGACCATTGCCAGTTATGAAGCCTTCAGATTTCTACTTGTTAGATCGCAGCTCTTTAGATGCATTCATAAACGACAGACACTGTTTAGAAGAGGGTGCGGGGTCAGCCAAAACTGGATAGCAACAGTGCTAAGTCGAGACGATGAAACCTTTTCAGAAATCTGGAAAGACCAAACGAACAATCGTGCCGAAAAACACCTACTGTAGCAGTGCCAAATCATTTGAATCGTTATTGAAAGAGATAGTAGTCTTTTAATTGAAAAATACAAGAATTTTATCCGCCTATAAGTAATGTTTCTAAACGAGATGTTATTTACACTAGATCTTTACGTAACAATTGAAGATGCTTAAACTACTACCCATTTTCATCTTTATGTCCGCGTGTCTCAAGTCGTTGGTGATAATGATTTTGGAAATTCTTTTGATGCTACTTAAGTAGTGCACATTGGCAAATGTTACGGATAATTTTCTATCATTTTTCAGAAGTCATCAGAATGCATATTAAAAAGCATACTTTTGAATAAACATTTCGTGATAACGAGCGAAAACAACAACATTTGTTGCAAAATGCTACATGAGGGTATTTTTCCACAGAGACGTGTCAGTCCCGTATCCCCTGATAAAAGGAGACTTTGTTCAGGAAAATTTCTTGCAGGTTTCCTTTTGATGACCTTACAACAAATGTATCGAGTCTGGCAAGAATTTGATTATGCGCACGAATAATTGTAGGTAAAATCATCTAATTTCCCCAATGCATAGGTAATCCAAAACGTCCTGGCAACACGAGTCTACTGTTTTGTGTTAATTGTGTCTAACATCACTACGATGATGTAGATGCGAATGTGTATGGGGTGTGGGCGTGGATGTAAGTCTGGCTCTTTTTCACTCACCCACAACCACATCCCACACCCACACTTTAGCGAGTCTCGAGGTGTACAAATTGTAAATCAAAGCTAAAAAAGTACTCTTTTTCCTTTTATTGTTACTGATAATTATTCGGATAATTCATACTTGCATTATTAAAAAATAAAAAATTGCCATGGCGCATTATCAATACAACCTAACACTGTGTCTCTAAAAGATTGAATATATTTTCTAATAATTATTATTTCATAATCTTGTATAAAACAATACAACATCAATACACGCATATGCACGATCAAGTGAATTAATGCACTTTAATAATTATTGTATTAGTTAACTCCTGAAAGCCAATCATATATTTTTTTCTAGATAGTTTTAATTAGTGTACCTTTTGAAACTCTTTTAAGAAAAAAGTTAGCGACTTGTTTTTCTTATTGTCCTATTTTCTGCTTAAGATCGAAATTTATTTAACAAAAAAAGCGCTGAAAAAATTCAATTTAAAAGGTCACAGTTCGTCTTCTATTGTTTCAATATTAGCACTCCAGATAATGGATTATAATAATGAACAATCAAACGTCAAAATGAACAAAAATAAAAGACTCAGCTTAAGGAAATCATTTAGTATTTAAATCAATTAAGTGTGAATTTTCTGACGGTATATCGATAATTCTATCGTATTAATAATTTTTACTTCACGTGACAATACTAGTATCAAAAGATATCAATTTAAAAAAAAAGATAATTTTTTTTATTTAATTCTAAAGTTAGATAAAATCAGTGTAAAATAAAATTGATCATAATTTTCTAGTTAATGTCATTACTCTAAAATGCTAATTTTATATTATTTTAAATACATAAACTAGCTAACATAATTTCATTTTATTTTATTTGAATCGTTAATAAATAGTTGTATGAGATCAATAATACTTTACGTGGAACAAAATACAGCAATGATAAATTAATTTAATTTAGTGTAGAATAAAAGGAATATTTCTAACGGATTAAATTATGCTGCTCCACTTTCATATTAAATACAAAGCTGAAATCATAAAGAATATTTCTTTTACTATTTTAATTCAATATAAATCATTATACCTTATATAATTATGCACTAGATAACATCTATTTTATCTTATCTAAAAAACAAGAAAATAATTAGAGTCAATGGAAGTTGAATTCACTTTTTTGAATAAAATAAATAGAAGAAAAGGCATGGTATTTGAAAATAAAAAAATAGTTCTAGTTTAGAGAAAAAATACAGTATGTTCTCTGCATACTAATCCAGTAACGTTCGACATAAGAATAAAAGATCCGCGTTTATGCAATTAAACAAGACGATAAAGGACCCAATCTCCGACTATAATGAAAATGACTGGTTTGTAGGTCGTAAATAGTTGAACTAACATACTCACAGCCCAGGACACAAAGAACGGGAGCGATAATGTTGTCGCCAGTACAATAGGCTTCAATGTGAAAAAAGTTTTCTATTATATTCAATTTAATTAATTTTTTTTCTGAATATTTTTTATGTAGATCTTATGAATATTTTATTTTCAGATTGTTTATTCGCACAGATGTCAATATCGAGTGATAGTCAAACATTTGAAGATATGTATATCGAATGCCTATTCAGTAAATATTTTTTTTTCTTTTATTATTCTTTATCAGATATTTTTTTTTGTTCTAGACCAGATGTACTATTAGGAGAAACACCGACTGAACAATGTTTAAATAAAAATTCTCGTGATTTATTTGTTTGTATTGATATAAACGGTGATTATCCTTTTCATTTTATTGATATTTCTTAGATAAACCGGCATTTGCATCATGTGCTCGTGAAAAATTAGCTCGAATATGTCTCATATTGCTACACAAAACAATGTATTGTCTGTCGCAATTCAAGAAGAAGAAAATATTTCAAATGTTTCCAATAAAACTATTAAATAGTCTGCTATAATACAATTAAAGTAGTTCTGATTTCTTATCTTGTCATCAATAATTGAGTTTATTTAGATATTCAAGTTCTATAGAACTATTTGTTGAACCATCACAAAATATAGCAAAAAAACAATCTCCAATGATTATTGAATTAAATTAACAACCAATCAAAAATCAACAAGTTATCGATGAATATGTTGATGAAAGGGTGTGGGTGTGGTGTGGAGTGTGGATGTGTATTTATTTGATCATCACCCACATTCCACACCGCACACTCGCCAGCAATTTGTTTTTCATCTACTATTGGTTGAAATACTTCATTCTCTTGGACCCTATCAAGAAGATAATGCAGTTGCAAATGACGTTGATTTGTATCTTGATATTCCAATATCTTTGTTTTCAGAGTAGTTCCAAAGTATTTATTTCGCTATTATTAAATATATGTATGGTGTTTAGAAGTCCTATGGAAGAAGTCATTCAATTCCAAGATACAAAAAAAATTAAATCAAAATGCTGAAAAGGTGTCATCATCTGTCTGTGTGGAGAGAAAATAGTTTTCACCATCACAACAACAAGTAAAGGATGATTATGCAAATAAAATTATTATGTGAGATACTTCCGACGAGTAATGTATCCTTTTAAAACATTAAAGTTACCTGTAAAAATTCCTGAGATATAGATAAGATATTGTGTTCTTTTGTTTTCTTCGTTTTAAAGATCAATCAAAAACGAAAGTTGAGCTCCATTATCTTTCCAGTCGTTTTCAAATTAAAAATGAAACTATTGAAATGGTGCACAACATTCTACGATCGGATCAAAATAAACAATATGATTCATTTTATATTGCCGATTCATATTGTTATATTGATATTTGATTTAAACAATGAGTATACAAAGTTAGTTAAATTTTTATTCTGGTGGAACATTTATAATTTAAGATTAAATTGTCCAAACCAAAAAATTTGATCATACATACAAGATAATCATCGTTTTTATGAAAATGGTATCGATATGAAGTATATAATTCAAGCTTATTTCGTATCACATCATTTTTATGAAGGTACATATATCCTTTTTATGTTAAAATTTATTTATTACATTTAGAGAGCTGGCGGGAAAGATGCTCCAAGTTTTTAGAGCATTCTGTTGTTTATGGTAAATGTGGACTTCATCAACTATTCTCACACTATTATAACTTGGATATGGAGCCCAATCTTCGTCGTTGTTTATCAAACCCGAAGGTAGCAGCTGTCAGAAAAATTAGTCTTGACTATCATAGGTATAATATTTTTTCATAACTTGAGTCTTTTGATGATTCGTTCAAAATTTAATTGTTTTTATTATTAGTGCTTCACGTCCTTTGAAGGAAAGACAAACTATAGCATTTGCACAACAAATCAGATTGGCACGACCAAAAAACTTACCGATTATAATTTGTTCTCGCGACATTTTTGTGCCAGTACTTGAAGTACTTTGCAAAGGTGAGGTGTAGGTGTGGGTGTGGATGAGTGGGTGTGACTATAGGTCATGATCAGATAACCATACACCCCGACACAAGAAAAGTTTACCCATTGGTCTAAAAATGTTGGTTACGCCGCTGCATCCTTGATCAAAGCAACAAAAGCAAATGTTTTATTAACACAGAATTGAATCTTCAAAGGCATCGATGAATAATCATATAACAATTGTACAGTTGCATCGTCTCTTTCTTTGTCCTTGGTTTTTGTTCTCGACCAACTTAATGATATCGAAATCGAAATGAAAGAAAGAGAATTATCTGATCGATTCGAACAAGAAAATCAACAAGTATCGAAGATTGCTAATCAATTGTTTGAAGAACAAGATAATCTCTCAACGAAACAACAAACAAAACAAAGGAAAAAATTGAAGAAGAACAAACAGATGGTGAGCAATGCACGTAAGATCGATCAGATACTCTTCGAGATAGTATTCGATTCTCTTTTTCTTTCATGTGCCAATGAAATGAAATCTGAGAAACAGTGAGTAAGTACGAAGGTCAAGAATAAGGTTAA